TCGAGAACTGTAACGTTTCGCTTGTTATTTTGCTATCTGAAGATGAGTTGTTCTCAGTCGGACCTCAAATCATTTCACGAACCTCGGTATACCTTATAACTACTCAGAAAAAAATTTGGGTGTTAATATATGTTGTCGATGGCTGCGCAATAGAATTGAAAAACCGAAATTCGAGCCAATTTGTGAGGAGTATCTAGGAAAACTTTACTCATCCACCCCACTTTTTGCAATGTGGAATTAAATTCGTGTCAACTCTGATGTACCCTCATCGGCCGTGTGTGTAAAAACTGCATCAAGTTCTGCTCCACTGAGATATATACAAAATTAAAACAGGGGATCAATTTTGGCCCTCTTACTTGACACAGGTTCAAAAACAGAAAATATTCTTAGAGTAAACAGTATGCAGCTCACAAGGATCTACTTATCTATTACATGAATGTATTAGTTTTTGAAAATATCAGTGCTAACATTTGAAAACGGCGCAAAAGCCATTTGTAAACAAATGGTTTGTGGGCCAACTTGTATAGTAATCTCTAAATCAACATGTTTTATAATAGCCTTGAAACGGCAAATATTTCTCAGTGTCATAAAAATGGTCAAGACTTACAGCCGCTAGAAGTTCAACACTGACCTGCTGCTGGTTCGTGAAGATCTAAGGAAGTACATCACCATGGCAAGATAAGCCGACAGAATGTGACCCGGGAAGCCAGGAACTCTAGGGCCTGCACGAGCGACAAACGGTCATTGGATGGAGAACAAACCAGCACGGCCTCATCAAGAAGGCGGCTACGGGACAGGCTGAAGAACCACTTCTCGGAACTAACACTGACGTCGAAGGCATTGTACTTACGAATCTGATTGCCAAACGTCACAGCGAAGCCGAGGAAATGACTAGTATTTCCAAATCTTTCAGCACTCTGACTAGTAACCGGCTTGAAATTCAAAGACTGTGGTATAAGGTAGATGTACCAGATGAATTTTTCGGGTTGAAAAATTTCTCGACTTCCCTGGGTATAGAATTGTACTTGCCACACAATTATACTAATGCAAAAATGGTATAGGTATCGAAAGCTCTTAATTAATGAGTGTGGAAGTGCATTTAGAACACTAAGTTGAGAGCGCGCAATAAACTAATATGCCATAAGTAATAAGCTTGAAATGTGAAGAATAAGAAGAATACTAAGAAGAAGAAGAAGCAGTACCAGTCAAAGTTATACGTTCCAATTATCACATAGGCCATCATTTTAACACACCATAATAGGAGCGTATAGCCATAACTGGTACATCTACCCTAAGGTTTGCTTGCGAGTGCAAAGGGATCATGCATTTATTACGTAAGATTTAAAAAATACATTTTCTTACAAGGGAGATGTTAGATCTTAGAGGGGGGTTGGGAGTTGGTATAGAAAAATCTTTCGTTATCGTCATTGTGCATAGTTCCAAGAAGGAAAATTGGCGAGACTTCCGTTTCCGAAGAAGACTAGGAAACGATCAAAGCAGCCATTGGTCCTTAATAACGTGAAATCTGATGCTGAGGAGAAGATGAGAGATTTCATGATGAACTGAAATACGACGATCGGTTGGTCGCCGAAGGTTGTGCGTTCCGGCAATGGTGATAAGTTAAAGAACAGGTCACTAGAGAGTTTTTTGAAAAAAAGAAGGAGTCATGGCGCCGGTGCTGTAGTGATAAGCGTGATTGCCTCTCACCCCAAAGGGTCTGGGTTCAATCTCAGTCGCCTCCACCTTGATTTTCTGAGGCAACAAATCTCTGATCACGGGAAGTAAAGCCGTTGGTCCCCGGTTCATGAGTTGATGGGTCGATAGGTAGGGTCCAGGTGTGGGAGCTGCTTCCCTGGCGTCAGAAGCATTGGTACTCAGTACGGGAAACGAGATCGACGAAAAACAAATCAAGGGGGGAAAAATAGTGCAGCAATTCACTACACCACACACCCCATAACAAAACGGGACAGCTGAATGCAAAAATCGCTGACAACTACTTTATTTTTCCGGATAGTCCCGCTCCACGAGGCCGGTAAAACACTCCTTGTATTTTCTCATTTCATATCCATCTAACAATTCACCATATCGCTTTGTTTTAAACAATGATAATTGAGCTCATAGCAAAACAAACAATGATAATTGAGCTCACAGCAACAACTTTGTTCAAACCACTTTTCGACATAATGTAAGCATCAAAACTTATTAATGATTCAGGCCACTAATGTCTTATGATTATGCTCATTCAACTGTTCAGCAGGCAACATTGGTGTTTCTGGCGCGTAGAATAGAGCACTAAAATCAACGCTACTATGTCAAAGTGCAGAATACAGTGTTGCCCACAAAACAGCTGCTTGATCATGCCATAAGATTATCAATCTCTTAAACAATTAATAACTATTTTAATTGAAGTTTGGCTTAAAAACTTTATTCTGCAAAGCTTTAGCTGAGAATTTTTTTCATAAGGATAGCTATAGAACTTTTGAACAGTGCAATATAGAAAAAGGCTAGAAGATAATGATCAAACAGTTTGGATTTCCGATAGTAATTTCCATATAAACTTAAAATGATTTGTGCCCAGTCAGTTTCTTATCAAATGATTTCAAATTATGGGACGCTAATCAGGACCCGATTTGGGACCGTTTGAGCACTGTGGAGCGAAAATGTCAAAATTTGCATCAGTCTAATGGCTATATTTAATCATCTCTAATGTGTCGTAGTATGCTGTCCAATCACTATTCGCTAAGCGCTCACTTGTTCCGTGTTAGGCTGGGGGACAGCAATCTCTATGAATGTGGACAAGGTTACTAGGATGCAGATCACATTATTCTGTCATGTGCTGAGCACCGTGGAGGCAGATCCGAGTTGTAAGATTCCCTTCGGGCTCGAGGTAGACAACCTAATGTTCCAGTTCGGGATATTTTGGCTAGACGCGATCTGGAGTTTATGCATCTCATATTTGTTTTCTTTAAAAATTTTAACCATAGATTGTAAGTTTGATTAACCTTGTGTTTAGTTTGTATTGTGTTGGTATTTGATTTTTTTTTTATATTTGTCTCTGTAATAATTGTATAATTACTGAGTTCTCCCTCTCCCGATCCATACCATTGATATCCACTAACCTCGAGAAGACCGCGAGTAATCGATTCAAATCCTTTAATTTTAGATTAAAAACATTAATAATTTATTAATTAAAATGATAACATGGCTCTGTAAAGTTTATTCGATTGAGCCGTACAAAGAAACTAAAAAAAAAAAAACAATTGATGTCAGGTATAGCTTTGTCCGGTATTTGAACGGATCAGGAGTTTTCAACGTAGTATATTATCCATCAGATGAGATTTTAGCAAATGCGCAGACAAAACCGCTAGGCCGGGTTAAGCTGCAGAAGATATCGGAGGAGATTGGCTTGCAAAACATCGTTCTTGAGAACTGTTGAAGTAGAAACAAGAAAAAAATTGAAGAAAGTCCTGTTTTTTTTTTATTTGTATGCTCTCAGAAAATATATGTTAGATACCGTTGGACCACCAACCAAGCTGGTTGTACTATTATTAATCTCCAAGATTAACCACAGAAATTAAGCGGCGCCGGTGGTGTAGTGGTAAGCGTGATTGCCTCTCACCCCAGCAGGCCTGGGTTCAAACCCTGTCGGCGCTGCCGGGATGTTCTGAGGCATGACATCTCTGATCACGGCTTCCTTCGAAAGGGAAGTAAAGCCGTTGGTCCCCAGTTCATGAGTTGATGAGTCGATAGGTAGGGCTCAGGTGTGGGAGCTGCCTTCCTGGCGTCGGTAGCATTGGTGCTCAGCACGGAAAACAAAATCGACGGAAAACAAATCAAGGAGAAAAAAAAAACAGAAATTCTTATGAACGTTCATTAGAATTCCCATTAAATCCTATGCAGGATTCTCTTGGAGTTCTACAGAGAACTGCTTTAAAATTAACCTTAGGATTCAATTGGAATCTGGTGTTCTCCAAAACTATCTCGAAAGCAATCTTTTGATTTCAGATAAAATTTTCCTTACCTCATCACTCTTCCCTGAACTCTCTTTGAACTCTATTCCGGTTTCCCTTGAAATTATCCCTTAGACATACTGATGTACTCCAATACACGACGGACTTCAAAACATTATTTTCTAAGACGATGTCTATGGAAAAAACAAATTCCTTATTCGTTAATTAAAATGTTCCATTAATATACCGTAATTTTAAAATTCCCTGCGTGATGATGAAATTCTCCGAAAATTCCAGGCAATCAAATTCCTAAAGATTTTCGATTTTCAAGCGATTTTTTTCAGGTAGTCAACACCCTGATAATAAATTCGGTAAGGATCTAAAAATTTCTTAGTTGTTTTTTGTTTTAAGTTGGATCAAATTAACTTGAAAGTATCATGAAATGCAATAATTTTGCGCGGCGCTGAACTCTGCTAATTTTGCCAATATTTTGTGGCGTATTGTGATATTGTTAAATTTAAATTTTTCCCATGCACTACATCTACATACAGGCAAAATTGAAATATCCTAATTTCACATTATTTTGGGATTTTTCAAAACACCATGAAATTATGGCCTTATTACTTTTCGGCAGCTCAAATAAAACTTATCTCAGAGATTTGGTGTAATGAATTTTAAAACCGATCTCATTCGAATGCCTAAGTCTATTTATTTCCAGAATAACGCCTCATGGAGTGTCATGAAAGTGCTTCAATATGTGAATGCTACCATGTGATCAATTGTGCTAATTATTTCAAGCCATTCCTTTGCCTCAAGCATGTACTGTTGATAGTGTGTTTTCTTTGGAATTCTCATATGCACGCTAAACTAATTATCACCTACATTTTCGTCTGATGTTCGATGTGACCTGAAAACGAACTAAAATGAGACAAATCATTTTGGCGACTGCTGTTTAAGGGTTTTGATTTATTTATTGGGTTTGTTGGATTACGCTTTCTATGAGACCAGGCATTATGAATGTTCGGATTGAAATTAATAAAGCATCATCTGTATTTGTATCCATTTGCTTTATTTTTGCTGCATTGACGGTCAATTAAAACTAATCAATTGGATGCATTTTAGCAGCTATATTACTTAAGCAAAAAAAAAGAAGAATCAAATAAATTTGCTGCCCAATTATTCTAATGTACCAATAATTCGTCGTAACACGCTTTGAAATGAGATTTCTGGCATAGAAACGGCAATTATGTCTTAAGTAAATGACCTATTGTAACCTAGAACGTTTTGACTGCCACTGTTGGATTATGCTACGGTTACTAACAGCTCTCAACGTGACTATTGTTTGTTTCGTTTTACATTTTCATTACAAAATGTGTTTACATGACCTCCTATCTGATGTACTGATACAATATTTCACTTGAAATATTTTCTTTTCCCATTTAAATCGGTAAAATAGTGTCATCTCGGAATGCATAAAATTTCATGATTTCATCTTCTGGCTAATGCTTCTTATCGCGATAGAATAAAACGAATATATTTATAATTCTAGTTATTTCTAATTACACTCGTTACATTTCTGAAACATCATTTGTCCCTGAATATTGCTATTCACAAGAAAATGATTTTATTAAAATTCAAACGAGAAGCCTCGTTATCATTTCATCGACATAGAAAAGTGTTGCTTCAACATAATCCCTGTGTAATCCGAATTTGTTATGCGTCTGTGTTAATTTTCGTGAATATATTAGAGCAGAAATAAAAGATTCAGAGCCATCTGTAAACAGAATTTAAATGAAACAACATAAACATAAACATGATCGAATAGAATTTCATTTTCAACCACCTGATTCAAAGGTCAGTGATATAGTATTTCAATATTGCATCTTCGTTGGTGGATATTATTTAACTACTTAAAATTATTTCACAAGAGCTCTACAGCAGTTCAATAAATTAAAGTTTCATCACACTATATTTACAGTTCATCTAATGTTTTAATTGCATAACTCGTAACTGAGTAGGCTAAAACCAGTGTAGAATATCTCAGACCAATATCATCTTGTTCAAGTTATACCTAACTAAAAAAACTTCAATTAAGGGCAATGTTTGTTTGTATGAAACATCAGATGAAAATGTTATACTATGGAAATTAACAACAAAAATGATAGCTTACAATCGAAACAAGTACGATTTTTATAGTAACTTTTCCATAATTTTGCCATAACTAAATTGATTGGTGCAAGTCTTGGCTAACTTTCATAGCACAGAGCTTGTATGCAAGCCTGCAAACGACTGGAAAATTATGGGAAAGTAAACGTAACACCATCGATAGCTTACATACTAGTATAGAGATGCCTCACGTAACGCGAGGCTTGCTTTTCGAATACTGATTAGAGAAGGTTTTATTAATTCTTTCTTCGAATTTATCATTTATTTACACAGCTGATAGGAGAAGGACCAGAAAGTACAATAAATTATGAATTGGGGACAAAGATAAAATCGAAGAAAGGATTTCTCATATAATGAATATCTCAACAGCAGCTTGCGACAGTTTCTACCTGGGATATCATCTTGCTTTACACATTTCTGTGAGTTTTACCAGTCCTCGACGGTCAAGCTTCTAGAACGTAATTTCCCTAAGCTATGCCGGGGAAAGTCAAAACTCTTGATTATACTTGGTGGAATCAGATGGTGTAGTGTTGCCACTGAACAAAACACTATCTTGATTATTTTGATATCCCTGATATTGTTCCTGATAAAGCTGGTTGAGTCTCTAACCAGTACCCGAAAAGTGCCACGCGTCCTATGCACTAAGATGTGCAAATTGTGATGGATGGATATCGAACTGGTATGGATGTCCATAAGGTGACATATGGTACGGAACGATATTCATCGATGCCATTTTGTGTTCCTTTTTCCATTTCATCCGACGATTCTGAAACCAGATCTTGATTTGTCGTTCTGTCAAGCAGAGAGCATGAGCTATCTCAATTCGCCTTCTTCGCGTCAAGTATCGATTGAAATGAAATTCCTTCTCAAGCTCCAGAGTTTGATAGCGCGTATAGGATGTTCGCTGCCGTTTAGTTTCTCCATTGGCGTTAACAGTACCTGTAATTGAGAAAATTAACGTTAAAAGCAATGAACGAGAAAGGATGAAATCAATTAGATAATTAACATTTTAATAGGAAGCAATTAGCATAGCATTAGAGAAAATAAATAATTGTTGATTTCAGTTTATAATGAGCAGTTTGGTACGGGAACGAGCACTTGTGTTTGAGCGTGTATGTTGTAAAATAAAAGAATTATTGTCAAGAAATCAAATGAGTTTTTGATTTCAACTAGATTACAGCTACTTTAACTCTTGTTTTAGTTGCTGTTATTTAAAAATAATCGAAAGTTATAATGACAAATACTTTACAAATTAAAGTCATACTAATGCTTACGCTGATAATTTTGTGTGCTTTCATTTTAGTTGTTTTAACTTAATCTGCTTTTGTCTAGAATGGCACGAACATTGTATGTTCACGAGTTGGCTCTGCAGGAATGCTGTCCTGCTTGTATGCTTTGCACTATCGAGCATTTATGCTATCCTATGGGAATCGTCACTCTAGCGGAGTTATGTTCAAAGAAATAAAGAAGAGACCAAAGGAAAACGTAAGATATTTCCTCATCTTATACATAACAACCTAGACGTCGGCTGACCAACGATACGGCCATAGTGTTGTGTTTGAAATTGAATAAATATAATTTATCATTTTTATTCGATTGGACACCACACGTTCGACCAAGTGAGAGTGATACGAGTGAATAGCTTCGCGAACCTTTCGAATCTATTGTGTTTGTTGTTGTGCCTTTATCAACAGTAATTTTGGGGTTAACTGCCATTATCAGCATAAATGTCCCACGATCCATAAGGATTGCATAGCATATGGAACATTTATGCTTATGGCGGCAGTTAAGTTCATGTGTTATTTTTATGTGTGGAAAAAGTGTTTTGCTGGATATAGGTCATAGAAAATGTCGAAAACCAGTGATAAAAATTCGATAGCAGAATGAAGAAAAATAAGAGCTTGTAAATTCTACTTGTTTCCTAGCTAAACATAGCACGGAATTGTTAACAAGTTTGTATGCAACATTGTAGATTTATGCAAATTTGCATGAAACACATCGTGCAAAATTCTCCCAAGCGATATTGTGCAATGCAAGAATTATACAGTTACATTAAATCTCTTTGGTGTCTTCGGCGCACTTATTCCTTAAAATAAATTCTCCCAAGACACAACAAATTTTAACGTAAAACCGTAGTTTTATAAGCGTTTGCGCACAAGTAATGATCCTCAAATTATAACATAAGGTGAGCCAAAAACGGTTGGGTAAACTCACAACAAAAACATACACAAAGAACCAGCTTTACCCAACGGATGAGTTCTTTAAACTTACTTTTGAGTTGATACCTCTCACTTGCTCTCTTGTTATTGTCAAAAATGAAAAGAGCAAAACAACCCAAAATTGAGTTCTATTCACCCAACTCGACAGTTCCGTGCGCCAAGTTAAAATTGAGTAAGTTGTGTATAGCTCAATTTTGAGCAGTTTAAACTTGACGTTGAGTGATAACATCTTAAAAGTAAGTAATCCTGTTTACATGCGACAAATGTATTATTTTATGGAAAACATATCACAAATTCGTCTTATGAGTTTTAATTTCGCATAAACATTCCATCGTTCTCAAGAAGGTATATTTTAGTAGAAATTACCAGTTATGTTTTCAAAGTCAAAAGGAGAACGTGGAATTTTTAGAGGAGAAGACTTCTTGCCGCAAGATATCACTAATCAACCTGACTTGTGTAGCCGGGTAAAATCGATTTGTTTAGTATTTTCAACAGCGGTTTGTTTTTTTTTCAATAGTGCTTAGTGCAATAGTGCATGTATTAGTGAAACTGCTCACTAATACGAACGGCGGTAGAGAAGTCTAGAGGATTTTGAACTCCATTTTTAAAAACAATGTTTACGATGCACATAATATTCAGACAATTGCTTACACTAGACCGAAAATAAACCATGCGCATGTTTTGAGCATGTTGGTGCTGTTCAGATCTCTCTCCTCCTGCGTCTAATAAATTTCAGGAACTTACAGAAATAAGAAGTTACAATTGTTTTGAGACTCAGTTTTGGTATCCTGAAATTCTAAACATTAATTGAAAAAGTGACGTAAAAATAATCGTGCTTACATTTTGTTCTATAACATTATTATTTTTTTAGTTAGCATGCAACATTACAGTTACAGATACAAATTTCCTCTAGAGTTTACAGTTGCTTCACAGCGATATAAATGTGGAAATGCTCAGGCGTCCACCTCTTAGTTCGCCTTTTTGTCCACCTGAAATATTCATAAGTATTACAAGCGATCAATTACACTATCAACCCCGTAATCTAATGCTATCATAATGTTCAGCAATGTCAGGAATGCTCACGAACCCCCAACATTTGCAAGAAAACTTACTACTAACTCAAGGTATCTTCCAAATAAGCTTCAAAATTGCATTTTAAAGATAATTATAAAAAATTATATTATTATTTAAATTACCTCAATGAAAATCATCGATTTTATAAAAAAAATGGCTATTGTTTGTATAAATAAATAAAATAAAAGGTGCGTGGTATATCGGGTTCTTAATTGAAAGGTTTTTCGACATTGATTTTAAACCGAGCATTATATGAATTTGCCAAAGAAACCATCATAATAAACAAAACAAAATAGTTGCAACTGAAAATATGTATCCACTTTGTTTTTTTTTTAATTACGTTCATCTGACTTATGTGGTCTTAATGAAGTATGATTTTCCCGTCAGCCTATTTGAGATGGTGGTTATAAAATGAACTAATAATCATATTTTATTAAATTTTTTCGAACCTTCCATCCCATTTGATAAAATCCATCTAGTGTATGTACGGCACAAAATTGACCATATGACCCGACGAAATCAAATGCCTAAGAAATGTCTCAACACAAATATCGTGACCGGCGCTCTATGATTGTATTTTGAAGATATATTCCTAATTCTGGTGTCTCTCACATGAAATGTTATTTAAAATACCATTAAAAAAAGCCATTTTAAACACAAAGACTTCATTCAAGGATTGGCATGAAATTGGATCACATAATATGAACGTATAAGCCATGACTGGTATATCCCTACAGTTTTCTCAAGAATCTCCAGCTTATGGGAAATCACTTCTTCGCAAGTTTTTCCTATTATCAACAGACCATGAGTAACCACTTTTTTATATGAGGGTGCCTCACGTTAACACCCTCTGACGTATACGGGAAATAGGATGAACAAAAATGTAAAACTCTATACTGTCTGTACTGGAACTTTGTGCCTGCTCTAAACATAATGTTATTTGATTTTTTCCCCAGTTGTTAATTGGGAGATTTTGTATGCCACTACCATTTTTCCTTGATTAAGTGACAAACACAACAATTATGCCAGAGTAGTTGGGTAAATTTTGAACCTGAAAATACACTCGGAGGACCTGGAATCGAACCCTACGCGCCTCCGGTATGACATGCGGTGCATTTACCGACTAGACTATCGGAACGCTCATTTGTAGATGATAAAAATACCTACTGAATACTCATCAGCAGTGCCAAAACTGTTTGGGTTTAGTGTTGAACTTGCGACGTTTTTGTTTTGACATCGGCTTTAGAAAGATATTTTCGCGCTATTTCAGATCTTACGCGATCAAATGTTACGTGGACGACAAGTGACAAAACGGTGACAGACGACATGCTAACAAACGAAGAGTATCTAAACGACGATTAGTACTCGCAGCTGTGCAGTTGTACGCTGCTCTCAACGACTGCTGTGAGTCTACATGTTTCAATACGTTCTGGAAAAGAACATGTTTCTCGACCGTCGCTCTGTCTGCAAAGCAATCTTGATGACGGCTTTGATATCTTGAACTTGGTTGCCTTGTAGCATAGTATTTTTGTTGACGCTCGTGTTTTTGTCAATTCAAATTTTCTTGCTCTATGGAAATTGCGAAAATCAAACGCTGCGCACATGTTGGGTTGGTGTATGAAGAAAATTGGTGTAGATGAAACGCTTACATTTTCTGATGGTGTGATATCTGAATGTCTACTTTAATCAGTAATATAGCTGTTGTCTATTTAACGGCTCGTTAAAAACGAGATTGGCGCTGGCTCAAACGCCACTCAGCTTCATTTCAAGTATCTTACTTGAACCTTGCTGAAGATCTTTTTTCAACAAAACGTCAAATAAAAATAGTTTCCAACTATCTCTGGTTTCACACTCCATCCAGATTGTGTCCACCGTTGATTTCTTAAACTACAACTGCTTCTTCGACAATCCATGCTCGCTCTCCGTACATTACGTCAGTCTGTTGAGGCTAGCCTTTTTCAGAAGTTTTCCACACATATGTCTAGCAAGCATAAGTTTCTGAAGGATACTGGATACCTGGTATCGGTAGCAATACTAATTTTTGTATCTTTAAGTGATTTCAATCTAGACTTTTTACAGCACCACTCAGAACACGTTCGGGACCATCTCGATCGTCGTTTTTAAATCCACGTTCCTTTTTCCACTGCTGTATTCCGTAACCCTTCCCCGCTCAGATTTTTCATTGTTCTGAGATGCAAAAACGCGTTTTTTAAGTGCTATAGAAAAAAATGGTCTATACAACCTGAACAAATCGAATTAGTTTAAAAAAAAGTTGTCAGTATAGTAACTTGATTGTTTATAAATAGTTACATAGCTGAATTCTCAAGAATAAATATAGAAAATACTGGATAAGCTTAAATAAATACATACTGTTTAATGCTTAATTAATCATGAGACGGACCAAAACTGTGGATCATCTGTGATATCATGGGAAGGAGAGGGATAAGCGTTGTGTCCCTTTGCCTTGCCGTGGTGTAGGTGGCAAGGCTTTGGTAAGGGCACTTTTCGGATGGTCGAGATCTGGGCAGATGGGGTGTGATGGATATGTGCACGGAGAGCTTCGAGAAAAAGATTCTTGAACACATACCATATGCTCCCAGGAAAATGGCCACCCAAGTAATTAAGTAAACAAGCCATTTTTGTAAT